CCCAATTGGCCATAAGTTGTTTCCATCTGGATAAAAACATTATTTATATTCAAATGTGTCGTCATGCATTCATCTTGGCCACTTTTCGGTTACATGAGTTACCAAATTATGCAATTAAATGTTTTTCCAAGAAAATTCTTTCTTTGTTTAGCAATAGGTGGGAAGATAACAAAGTAAACATCCATCTTCCTTTAAACCTTGTCACCATCAAATACCCTAGTCGTGCATGAGGCAACTATTCTGTTTCTCATATCGGGACTTGAGAAGTCGCCAGTGGCCGCTTTGCCTCAGGGATGGGGCAAAGTGGCCAATATGCTATAGGTTTAAAGTTTTGTCAATATATCTCATATGTGAACGCCTTTGGAAATGAAACGCAGTTGGAATAAAAGACAATTTAATAGGGATCACATTGGTATAGAAAGAATCTTTCCAAGTTTAAAAATCAAGTGTCGGCATCGTTAGAAACGTTAGGGTGGCCGCTTTGCCCCACTCTCCCCTACATCTAAATCCTAATTTACCCGGTCAGCTCCGGATGGGCTGGTCCCGCCCGACTCCCGACAGTCACCTAGCGGCTCATCCAAGGTCAGATAAATCGAGAGAGATATATACCATTACCAAGGACATAAGGGTGAGTACTGAGCATATCAGACACCCGATAAATAGGGCTCAAGCTGGCACGGCTATTTACATGTGAGTGTTATATCATTGTTCATGTAGGGAAGGACTGTGGGCCTGAGTGAGGTGTAGCGCATGACTGAGCCATGTCATATTGACTCCGACTCCTGGCAGAAATGTGAACTCCGACCGACTCCTACTCTAACTCCGATTCTGACTCCGCAGCCCTGCCTCTAAGGTGACCCGTTGAGCTGAATTCTTAATCAAAATTGGTTACCGTTTAACTCATTGTGCAACATGCTCATCTGAGACTTTTCTCATATTTTTCTTTAGTTTGTTTACGACTTACGTTCTGCAGCACCTATGCCTTCATGGTAGTCAGGTCTCAGGACTTGATGCAAACTCAGGTGCCTCTTTTGGCCTCTCCTGATGTCATATCGACCTGAAAATCTCAGGACTGAGAATATGACCTTGTCATATATGTTCCAGTTTTCGATGTGGAATCAAAAGCGCAGTCAGTGACAGTATATGTGTTTCTGACCTTATGTTGACCTGGTGACATGACCTCAGGTCGCCATGTAAGAAACTAGCTCAACACCATTTCCACAAACCACATAAATGTTATTACGTTATGAACATCTAAATCCGTTCCGAGTATATTTATTTACACAATATCAGCGCTCAAAACAACATAAGCACTGCAAAAAGGCACTCAATGCCGTCCCAACATGAAACAAAACACAACAAACGACAACAAATGACGTTGAAAACTCACACCCCATGCATTCGCGCGGCGCGACTCTCGGGTTCGGCGGCATCCGCGGTGCCCTGTGCGTCCGCAGCGGTCACCGGCACCAGCTCAGCACTGAGGACCGCGTGGGCAGAGATGAAGTCGAGCCGCATCAGGTCTCTGAACGCCTCCAGGTCTGTGTCGGGCACGGCGCTGACACACGGTACGTCCAGGTGCTGGCAGAGCCGGGTCACCTCGGCCACGGCCAGACGGCGGTGCTCGCCCTGATCATCGGCCCTCTCGGAATCTCCGAAAGCCAGTGCGCCCTCTCTGCTGACCAGCGCCCAGGCGGTGGGCTCGTCCGCGGACTCAGAGGTCAGGTAAACACCTGCAGAGAGTCGCAGGTCAGCCGGCTCTGGCGCGGCGCAGGTGCGACGGTGGCGCCGCAGCCGCGGCAGGTGGCGCCGCTGCAGCGGGCGCACTGCCACGCCAGGCCGCGGCATGGTGCCCGTCAGGCAGGGCAGGCTCGGGTGGCGCGCGAACAGTCGCTGCTGTTCCTCGAACGTGACACGTGCGCCGTGCTCAGCGGCCACAGAGGCGAGCGTCGGCGCCAGCTCGGTGCTGACGCCCTCAGCACGCACTGACGAGCTCCAGAGCCGACTCAGCTGCGGTGCGCGCAGCAGGTTCAGAAGCCGGTGATGGCTGGCGGTGTCGTCCCCCGCACACACGTGCAGGGTGGCTCGCTGCGGAGTCTCGTGGGTGACGGTCACCACGGCGGCATCAGCAGCGTCCCCGCCGGCAGCGAACACCTCGAACGGCGCAGTGTTGATGCGACGGAGAAAGAGACGCAGCAGACTGCGTGTCTGAAGTCCATGGGCCCCATACCTCTCGAGCCGCGGTAGCAGTGCTGACAGGTGCTCCAAAGAGAGCTGCACCACACGCTCCACACCCATGGCAGCTAACAGGTGGCAAGCAGGCGTCGGTAGATACCGTAGAGAGACCGAGACAGGCGTCTGATGAACTCAGGACAGGCGCCGATAGTCGAGGGATCGGACGATTGCCGGTTAGACAGGCGGACTGAGGTGGCCACAGGGCAACGGTCCCTCACAGACTGATGAGAGCAGCTCGGACCGCCTTACAAATACCCACCAGACGATAAACAAATGTCGATCCGCCGCCCCGAGCATGCGTCACTCGTTTCGTCACAGCTGAGGGCAGCGGAGACGTTTTTCTCGGGTGGTCTCGGACTGAGTGGAGCGGCTGGTGGGGACATACACAATATCACATTGCGGGCTAAAACTGGAACGAACCGGCTTGATACCACTCTGGAATGTACAGCTCTGGTGTTTATGACAGATCTACGACGCTATATGAGGATGCTTCCGGAGAGCGAAGGACACTGAATGTCTGGCATTGTCATAGATGTATGTATTTTGTATATGTGTCCTAGCTACGTAAATGCGTGGGCGCGGACCACTTCGTCGCAAGGCATGTATAGCGCGTTTGTGGTGGCATCGCGAGGGCGGAACTCGTGCCGCATTCTCAGAGTAGGGTGGGTAGTGGTGGTGTCAGTTTCTGGCGTTGCATGGTGTGTCATGTTCTGACTCATGCGATCCGTGTCTTTACACGCCCCCTTTTTCAAGCAATAAACAGCTTTATCAATTTACGAAGCTACGAATTACGTTGCCAGCACCCAAAATTATTTTTGAAAGTTGGTTTTAAATGATTTTGTCATTTAATTTAAAAAATATGACTTTCAAAAGGCTCTGGGCGATTTATTTTATTATTTCATTTACATCTACATAAAATTCACGCTGCTGAGATGTGAACTTACGTGATTATAACTGCCCTTTTCTACTTGGCAAATTTTTACGTTCTTTTTTACCAGAGGATCGTTTGTTTAGATCATTTAACGTTTGCAAACATTATTCTTTATCAACGTTTATTCAATAAGCAAACACAATACACACAACAAAAAGAAAATGACGTATGACATTGCCTTACAAAAAGTAGGTGCCGCTTCCCTGGTGACCTCAGATGTTTTTGAGTGAAAGTGTGGGTGTACCTTTCCGCGTTTTATAGGTGTATGCAATGCCTACATATGGGCATAACAGTCAGATAGATGAGTCGCATCAATGGTAGTTCACTTGTGCATAGAAAGGGAATGGAGCATATCATTGCGAATAACATGCTTGGCGAATGTACGTAAGCAAAGCATGTAAAACAACACAATAAGCATGCTAGAAAAGATAGGAGGCATAACAAATCACAATTACAGACCTAATCAGAGCGTTGAGCACTTCGAAGTAAGCTTTATCACAGTATTATTATTATTGCTAAAGGAAGAATAAGAATGCATTTTGTTGCTTACATTGTCTAAGAATAAGATACTAACTTATGACACGTTCCAATATATAACGATAACATCGCAGATCAGAAAGCTTATTTCATTGTAACATATTCCTATGATGGCCAGACCATATGAAAGTAGACCATATGAACACAAATTGATGTGCGTACAGGCACGACAAAGCATTTAAAACATCGGTGCAGAAGTGGAAATTGTGCTTAGAAAATTGCGAATCAAATGCCTCTTATTTTAAAAACTGAACATGACATGTGTAACAGTAAAACCCGTGTTCTAACTTCTAAAGTAAGCTCAGTTATCAGAGTACATATGCAATCAAATAAAGCACAACTAATTAACCCGCGAGTTGCTGGGGGGGGGGGGGGGGCGTTAAACGCCCCCACTTTTTTCGCCGGGCCATAGCATAAATTTGCCAAATTTGCCAAAATTTGCCAAATTTTGGGTACCTGTAGGGAATTAATTGAAGTTTATTGTGACAAAGTTTCAAAAAAATCGGTCGGTAAATTTTTGAGATATCGAGGTTTTAGTGACGTCATGATTTCTGAGTTTTCGACCAAAAACGGCATATGTTCAAAAAATCATATAAAATCACAGAATAGACATACAGACATGCCGTAAACGCCATTAGACTGCCAATACCATGATCAATCAAATGGCTATCTTTGATTATTGATTATCGTTCCGCATTTTCCATAATCTTGAACTGAATCTTGGCAATTTTTCGTGACTACTTCACGACCATGATACATGAATTTCTTAAATTGAACTTTTTGAGCCAAACACGTACACATATGATAAAATGAATGTCACCATCGTGTTCTACGCCCCAAATTACCTATAAAACATCTGTCACAGGCTCCGAATATCAGTTTTGATTTTCGGGGATATGTGCCTACCCGGTTGACCTGACCTTGACCCTGACCTATGCTTGACTGACCCCTACATGGAGCTGACACTCTTGTAGGCCTTATAAGATGGATTGTGCACCGTTTTCACAGAGTTTATGGCGAGAGGCGCCCATTGCGAAGTCCTGAAGTCCATGCTACTGAAAGCCCGATTTCAGGTGTTTGACCTGACCTTGACCCGACCTGTGACCTCAAAATTCAACTTTAAAGTACTCATCTGAATCGTCTCATCGCGCTCTTTCGTTTGCCGCCTCGTGCGTTTCGCTGCGCCTATTGGTTCTCGAGTTATCGGCTGGGGGCGTTTAACGCCCCCCCCCCCCCCAGCAAACGGTGGGTGGCGAAATACCCCAGCAACTGCCGGGTTAATACCCAACAGCTCACGCAATAGCACAACTCGTGTTCATAATTAACGCATTGCCCTCAAGTTCAACTACACAGCACAAACGTTCTTCACTGGCTCTGTGTTTGCGATTTCGAAACGTTTTGGAGCCAGATCACCGTCAAATATTTCGCACAAGTATGTCGCAACGCACCCATAGCAGTTGAGCGCAGGCAGTGCAAGAAATTGGGCCATTTCTGCTCTGAGTGCGGGACGCCCTCGGTCGTTGCCTCAGCAATCTTCAGCACACTGTTGGTAAAACGGAAACTGTCTGTCAGCCATTCCGTCACCAGGCAGCTGGTATGCATTTATGTTAGTTATGTTAGTTATGTTTTTTTTTCGCATCAAATATCGTAAACTATGTACTTACACGTTTCCGATATCCTAAGAACTATGATGTGTCTTATTCAGGAAATTTATCAAATATTTCAGATACGGTAATCATCTAACTATTCCAGATCACAGCTGTTACATTCCAACAGCGTCGCACCACAGCTGCTGAACCAATACAACTCACCTATTTGCTGAATCAGGGGTTCGTATTGGTGTTGGTGTTGGTGTTGTCACCACCATTGTTGGTGTTCATTGAGTTGTCCTCGTTGGTGGTGGTAATGGTGTCCATGCTGGTCTGCATGGCTTCGTTGGTGTTGGTTGGTGAGTTGGTGATCGTTATTGGTGCCGAGTTCGTCAGTGTGTCGTCGTCGTTGTTGGTCAGGGTGATGTTGTCTATGTCGGTCACATTCACTCCGCCATTGCTGAAGCCAGTGTTGCTGGCGGTGCCGCTGCCGATGCCGCGCAGAAGCTGGAAACTGGAAAGAAAGAAACAGTTTGAATGTTTGATTTTTAATTAAAGAGCGTGTAAAATATCGAACAATTAGAGAACAAGTAGAAAAAGAAGCATTCCTCCGCACCGACCGTATGGGCCAAAAGCTTTTAACCCGCGCCCTGCTGGGGGGGGGGGTGTTTGAACACCCCCTTGTGGTTTTTCGCGAATGTCTCAAAAACGGCGGCGCGGAGCGCCGCCGTTTTTGGTACACCTTATCATACATCGATTCTACACATGTTGTGAAAATTTCAGACCAAGGTCATTCAAGGTCAGGTCACCAGGTCACTTGAAGTGACCTCACCTCATAAAAAGTTTCAATGTCTGTCATAGCTTCACCGAGTGACCGATCGCTTTGAAACTTTCAGCGATTGCTAAGAGAAATAGCATGTACAAAATGTATATCTCAGAATTTTGATATCGATGACCTAAGGTCAGGTCAATTTTGCGACCGCCCCATTATAAGTCAATGGGAGAAAATTGAAATGCGCCTCTTTTGGACGAAAGACATTATAAACACTCCCAAACACCGAATTACAAGTGGTTTAGACACACAGAACATGAAAATGGTGTCCGTGACACTTGTTTATGCCCTGAGGTCATCTTGGGTCACGAATGGTATCTAACAGTTTTTCGCAAATAACTTTTGATAGAGGCATGCTAGAGCGATGAAAACGCCTTAGATGTGTTCAGCTTGACGATACGGATCGACTGATATGCAACATGACCCTTTCCGGTCAGGTCATGACCTTGACCTGAGGTCAAATTTTCAAGTTGACCTTTCAAGGTCAAATTATAGTTCATTCGATGCGTCTTGACGAGAGGAACACGATACCGATAAAAGTAAGCTAGTACAAGGCTTGGGTCAAAAGTTATTGCAGAAAAACTGTTTCCGAAAAAAATCGGCTATTTTTGCAGTTTTTGCCCCCTGCAGGCAAAACCGTTGACGTTAGGTCAAATCTGAGGGAATTACTCAGAAAGGGCGTTAATAGGGCTATCGAATGCGCTTTTCCGCGGCGCTGTAGCTCTATTGGTTCCCGAGTTATGCGTTGGCTTCTTGGAAATTTTTGACATTCGACCTGGAAATCGGCGAAATTTTGCCTTCATTGACCTCTGGTGACTTGACCTTTGACCTGACCAAAAAATTGACCGAAGTGATTTCGTCATTATTTTTGACGCTCTTTCGAACGCCGCCTTCCGCGTATCGCTACGTGGCCCAGGAGCCGAGTTACAAGGGGGGTGTTCAAACACCCCCCCCCCAGCAGGGCGTGGAAATCCAGGACCCCCAGCCGGGCGCGGGTTAACCTGCTAATGACTGCAGGGGGGGGGGGAGGGAGGGCTCTACAGAGCCCCCCTCCCGTTTTTTCGGCAATATCTTCTAAACCGTTTGACGGATGAACACGAAACTTGCGGTACCCTCAGCGGCATCAATGTGACACCTTACTTTCTGGCTACCATAGTTTGGCCGGAAATGACGTCAGAGTGACGCCATGTCGGCCGATTTTGATGCAAAATATTGAAGTACGGCAAACGCTCTCAAGAGCAATTTCTTTGCATCGTGGACTACAAATACAGGTAGCTGTCAAACTGCTATCTCGGATTTTCAAAATTTTGAAAATCTTGAAAATATGATTTTACAATTACAAAAAATTGTTGATATTTGTTTTCGCAACAACCAGAATATATGTATGTGATAGAATACACACTGATATTCAGATGAATATGACCTCACATGACACAGACGACATTGTTTTTGAAAGATACGAGTAAAATGGACCATACCTAAAACATGCATTACGTGACCGATACATGACATACAATTTTCGTGACCTAGGATGACCTGGCCTTGACCTGAAAAATTCGAAATAAAAGTGCGGTACCCTCAGGCAAAGACCACTATATACCACTATATATAGTGGTCTATCAGGTCTATGGCTCAGGGTATCTAAGGCATATATCAAGGAGTGGGTGAACCAAAAATGATCCTGATCGGACTTGTCAGCCGGCGGTCAGAGCCTAAATTGTGAACAAGCAAAAATGCCGATTATTTTTACTTTGACCTGACCTGTGGCGTGATCGGTGACCTCGAGGTCAATGAAAATAGGTTTCGCTCGACAGTATTCCTAGGGCTATCAGACGCCGTTTGAATTTAGACGATCGGCTCAGTAGTTTCGGAGATAGGAGGAGGGTTCTTCTGGAGAGCCCCCCCCCCCCCCAGTCACTCGCGTTATGGAAAATACCCCAGTTATGCGCGGGTTAAGCGCAGGGTTGTCACTGCAGGCGCCTGAAATGCTTTTTGTTCAAATTGTCGATAGCGTTCGATGTTTATGGCAACATGTGCACTAAATATACAGCATACACGGTATGATAAATGACTAACTAATTGATACCTAATTAACACGTTTCAATTTATTTTTCAAGCTTTCTGTGAAGAACAGATAAAAGAACAGCAAAAGTACTGTATGTACATACAAAGCCCACCACCACCTGTCTGCACCCGCCTTGTGACTCACCGATCAGCCCCGTCAACGATTGTTTGTGTTTGTGTTGGTGTTTGTGTTGTCACCACCGGTGTTGGTGTTCATAGAGTTGTCGGTGACGGTGGTGGTGGTGGTGTCACTGCTGGTCTGTGTGGCCGTGTTGGTGTTGGTAGGTGAGTTGGTGAGAGTGATGGTGACCGTGTTGGTCATGGTGTCGGAGTCGTTGTTGGTTGTGGAGACCGAGTCCGTGTCGGATACGGTGACCGCGCCAGTGCCAGAGGTGCTGCCTCCATTGTTTATACTGCCACTGGAACAGACAGAGAAGTCTGTCAGAAAACAATGTTGGTGGTTTCATGATGGCTTTGTTTCAATATCCAATTTGGAAATTTAGAGAAGGCTTCGAATGGTTCAACGATACTTGTGTATTTTGATATATGATGGCAGTTTTTCATGATGAAAATATATAACTATTAAGAAATGATAAATAACGTGGCAGAAACGTAACATATTATATTATTAAAATGACCAAAAGATGAAATAAGCTTCCTTTTACTGCCATCTGAAGAGGCTGGAAAGCGGAAACTCATTCCAAGTTTTGTACCATTTTATCATGAAAGGTTTACATTTCTCCCAAGTTATCGATCATCTCTGATTATCTGTACTTATGTTGATGTGCACTGTAAGAAAACCTTTGATAAAGAAAGATGAAAATGTGTTTAAATGTCAGATAAAATAGGAAAAATTACAAAGGCGCAAAATTAAGTGTTACATAATCTGTTTTATCTGGATTTGAGTCCGTCCAACGATGTGCAGCAACATGCAAGATGCGATTTATATGTAAACTATGTTTGGCATGCATGCTATTGTTTGTATTTACGGTTGTATTTGCATTTGTTTGTATTTACAGTATTTACACTCTTGTAAGTTCATGCTTCGAATGTAGTTAACACTTGAAGGTGTGGCCTGGTTTCCTACCAGCTTTTAAAGTTTAATTTACCTACCAGTGCACAAACTTAAAATAAGCTAATTTTGGTGACAACAAAAATAATACCACAAATCAGTAACACACATATCACAGCAAACAGCAGGTGACACATATTACCAAGGCTTCCTACTACCGTGCAAATATGAATGTTCACCATGGGATATTGACCAGTTCCGTTCGCGCCCGAGCTTACCTGGAGAGACCGAGCAGGTAGACGAGTCCCAGCGCTGGTATCCAGAAGCTGGTGCTGAGGAACTGTCCCAGCGCACTGCTGACGTTCGTATTTCTAAACTTCCTTCGCGATGGTGCATTGCACGCACAGGATAGTCTTTTATCAAGCACAGGACCGCGCTCTGGAAGAGATAAGAGTTGTTGCTTTTGTTGTTGCTGCTCCCGGTGCTTTTGCTTTTTCTGCTGGTGTTGATGACGAGCATATTCCTTCTGTTGCTCTTCCTGGTAGTCCTGCTGATGCTGTCCTTGATGTTGCTCGTATCGCTGGTGCCGCGGAGGGTCTGGCGGTACCTGATTGCCTTCAGACCACTGAACTCGGCGGGACGCCATCCATCGGCGCAGACCGTGGAGCCTCCTGGACATCATCCTCGGAAGCCAGGTCATCGCATTCGACACTCTCGACCACAGCCTTCGCATCCTGCTGGGCACAGTGTTGCTGTTCCAAATGGCCGCTCCCTGTCGCCTGTTGATGACAGGGCGACTGGCTCGTCTTGTCAGGTACCCTTCAGAAGAAGTGGACGAACCTTCCCCGGGATCGAATTCTCCATATACGAAGTTGCGGGATATTGAACTATTGGTCACCGACTTCTCAAGTAAATTTCTAGTCATGGTCCTTCGAGTCACTATGCCCGAGCCCATACCGTCAGAGATACTACTGTTGCCGACATGACGATATGGCGCCGTGGTTGTCCTGAGCCGGGGATATCTCCACGTTGCATAGGACTGTTCAGTCACATTAGACCCACTCTTTTCATTGAAATGCCTCACGGTATCAGAACCCGTCTGGTTCTCACCACTGGATGACTGCACCGATCTTTCCACTCTGCTGGCCACAGCGCCTGTCCCTGGCAAATTGTCAATAATATCCCTGACAGTTCTGCTGGAACCCTCGCCGGCGTCGGAAGCCCGCAAGGTGACGATGTTACTCGGTGAGGTGATTTCTTCCATCTCCGTTTCCTTGTTGGTGACGCTGCTCGCCATCGTTTCATTTGTCGAGTTATGCGTCGTTCTGCTTAGGGAATGGGCCTCGCCTTCAACCAGTTGAATGAACGTATCAGTCAGACCTGAAAAGTACAAAACGCCGACGTTACTTTCTGATTACTTTCGAAGTGGTTGCATTATTGCGATGTCATTTTCTGCATTCCTAGAACCAGCCTGTATATCTAGGTTTGTAGTTTACGGCAAGCAATATTGTCGGTAGACATTGACGTGCTTTGCGGGTGTAATATCAACCGCGAAAGCGAGTGCCATTTCACACTTCTTCGATGAAACGCTGTTTGGCGACACGAGCAATGAATGGCACAACGAGTCGCGGACGCAGTCTAGAACCCTGGGCTTTTTATGGAAAGACTATATGCCGTGACGAACAGGTGAAAAATCAGGTCGATTCACTGGGTGGTCCATATGACACGCGCTCCATTCCGGCTCGTTTAACGCCAGGCTTTCCTGCAGTTGCGGAGCGTGAGCCGGTCTACCATCGTGCGATGTAGGCAACTGCGATTACATCGTCTACCAAGAATCGGTACAAAACTGGTTTGTCGCTCAAATGCGAGTCTATAACATCTCCTGATAAGAGCTAGGAATTAATGACTTGGAAAAATAGTGACTTAAGTCACGGAGATATGTGGGCGCATGAACGTATGAAGAAGGTAGGTGAAAAGGAGATATACCTACTTTTGCACCTGATATAAAGTTGAAAAAGCTCCTATGCATCGTAAAACAACACACTCAATCACAAACAACACATGCATACAGTTATGTAAATACATATAAGTGTTTAAAGATTGGATATGAAGATGGATAACTTTTTTATAAATATTTAATGTCGACTTTGGCACGCCATGGCATCAACAACACATATAGAACGTGGCGAATTGGCTTGATGTCAGCCGCGTGTGTCATGGTCCATGAATGATGATAATGTGCGATTATGAGGAAATAACACCGGCAAACAAAATTACGGGGTATTAAATCATGCAGCATAGCAAAAGTGGGCTGGGACGTAATGAAACAAATGACTTAAGTGCTACAAAAATACGGTAAAATGAAAATCTCGACAAATTATTGCCTTATACTAAGTACAGTTCTCATGATTTTCACGCGTCCGGCTGATTGCTAAATGCTAGATAAAAGCTATCGCCCACGCCCAAAGTTACCACTCACTGCCCGTGTCTTCACGCGGATCTCTCACCTGTGACCAGATGCTGGTACACGTCCTCCAGTTGACCGCACGAGCCCAGACCAATGACGCCGGCCAGGAGGCCACACGCTGGCTCGGAGCGCGTGACGAAGAACCTGCCTCCCACGGCGGCCGGCCCCACCCAGGCGGCGCCGACCGCCAGGAAGGCCCACAATAGGATGGTGACGGTCGCCTGAATATAGAACGGGTGGTGGTTAGAGGAGTCGTTTTTTTTAGTATCCAAGTTGATGTAGATGGACAGACTGTCGAACAGCACCTTCGTTCGAATCAATACAGACACAGTAGTAGGTAAGTACAGGTTCAGTACTGTTCAGGCAGCGTACCTTGACCTATAAATTACACGCGGGTGATATGATCAACCAAACGATAAACACTGAAAGATGGTATGCCGGTGTAGGCTGTAACATAAGCATGAGTGGTGTTCCATGCGTGTCAATGGCGACACGACAGCTGTTGCGCAATGTCGAGTTGCGTCAGCAGTTTTTCATTGAGCAGGAACGTCTAGACTAGGACAGACATGATTAGTGGTGCGCTGTTCTCGTTCTCAGAAGCGTGCATGTCCAACTTTGGACGAGACTAACCTTGAAGCCTCCCTCCACCACGCCTGGAGGTTCGGAGTCGAGTGCATCTGCCCTGGAGCACGCCTCCTGGCATTGGTCGAGGCGCACTGGGCCGGGGATTACTTCACCGCTGTATGGAACCGAGCCCCTAAAATCAACAAACACATCGGTCACATAATCACCAGGCCCGTGCTGCGGAGTACGACACGGGACTAACTGCACTTTGTGTAAGATCTGAAGATAACTGGTTCGTTCAGGCTGCAGATCTGCACTGGTTTTGGAAATCGTTAGGCGCGGAAGTCCAGATTTTACCGGTTTTGCCCCTGCAGATGTCCAGATTCACTTCTTATCGCAAAGGGCAAAATAACAGAATGCCGACTTCTGGACTGACTAATCACGGGACTCAAAGTCAACGACGCACTTAAAGGATGGGAGAGCAAATTTGCATGTATTTTTTCTTTATCAGTTAAATTGTTTTTATTCTCCGTTCAGAAAAAGACGGAATAATTAATCCATCAATAATAAAAATCAACAGCACAGCACTATTCAAATGATTTTTTTTATAGTGCATAAAAGCAAGCCGTAGATAATCAGATTTAATTGTCAAAATATACCAACGTCTTTCGGGAATAGTGAAATGTTGACAACGATCATTGATCAATTCATATGACCTCAACTGACCTCTATTTAGGTATCCATTGGCCATTAGTTGCAACCAGGCCATGATAGATTGCTATGGATTTCATCATCGTATAGTTAACCAGAACTATACGCCACATCACACTCACCTGATCAGGTGGTACTGTGTGAGTGCCCGGATGACATCAGTAAGTCCTTCTTTGGTCTGATCAGCCAGCAACGCCGAGACGCTGGCTGAGTCCGCGCCGAGAAGCTGCTCGAGGTCTCCGGGGGCACCCACCGAGCCTGCTGGCTTGCTCCAGTTGATGAGATGCGGAGGGACGTTCGACGTGGTTCGTAAGCCCAGGCCCATGTCACTCCACTTTTGATGACATCATAAGGGGGCCGCAGGACAATTAATGGCGCGGTGCGCCACAATCGCTCCCAAGCTACTTACCAACAGCTGCCATTTTTGAAAATACTATTTTGAAATAAAGATTCAAATAATGAAAATATTGTAATAAAGTTGTAGCTGAAATCTATACCATATCTAAAAACTTACTGAAAAATGATTTATTCATAGTAAAAATATAAGCTCGATGCGTTTTTACGTTGCTTTCCTGCTGCTGCAGAGGGTTTTTAAATCGTCTGTATCTTAAAAACCGGCCATTT